GGCCTTTTTAATTTCATTTTTAAAATGTATATTTTGTCATATGCGATTGTTATTATTATTACAATATTGTAAATTCTCTTTATTTGTATATATATAAAACAAGACCAGATTTCGAATCTGATACCCCTTCACAGTATTGATAATTTTTTCGGCGTCGGGACGTGACGACCCCATCGCCCACTGGTGAAATAACCTGTGACAGAGGTTATTTCATCAGCGCAATCAGTCAACCCCTTCCTAGTGGGAGTGCCATGCTGTTGCCTTCGGGCTTCAGCCAAATGGGCAGGCACGACCGGGGCAGTACCACTGTCTCTCAGAAAACCGGCGTGAAGTGATGCAAAAGGTTCGCCTTCTTGTACTCGCGTTTCGTGCGGTGAGAGAGATTCCCGGAGCCCATCCCCCCCACACAAGAAATATGAAAGTGCAGAAAAAACAGAATCTATCCCAGGGGGTACCACACGCGCTCGCGGTGGAGAATCCCCCTCTGGGCGTCCACCACCGGGACACTCAGCACCCGGTGGTGGACGCACAGGCTGCCCTTCGTATTCTGGGGGGGCAATTCTGCGCTCTACAAAAATAGTAATCGTCCTCGGGGCAAACGGAGCAATTATACAAAGGCACCCCCGTCCACACTCGCCGTGGACTTCACAAATGTTAGGGGGCTTAATTCTAACATCAACGCTGTCCACTATCATCTAGAGACTGCGAAGCCGGCCTTGCTCTTTCTTACCGAGACTCAGATATCCTCCCCGGCTGATACTTCCCACCTATCCTACCCGGGGTACAAATTGGAACATTCATTTGTGCCGCGGGCTGGAGTTTGCGTGTACGTCAGAGAGGATATCTGTTCTCGTCGCCTCGGGACGCTTGACGGAAGGGACCTATCTAACCTCTGGCTGCGCGTAGACTGCGATGACCATCCGCGATTCTACGCATGCCTGTATAGGTCCCATAGTGGAAATACCGAAACTGACCGACTCATTGAGCACATCCAAATGGTTACAGATTCCCTGCTCGAAAGGGTTCCTACCGCTGAAATCGTGATACTTGGCGATTTTAACGCCCACCATGCCGATTGGCTCGGCTCTGAAACCACCGATCACGCGGGAAGATCCTTTCACGACTTTGCTTTAGCCTACGACCTGACACAAATGGTCCCTGCGATTACGCGAATACCAGATGTGGATGGTCATAAACCCTCTTTGTTGGACCTTCTGCTGACTTCTCATCCGGAGAACTATCAAGTCTCTGTTGACCCGCCATTGGGTTCATCAGATCATTGTGTGGTCCGGAGTACTGTGCCATCTACGCGCCCTTCACGGCCCCGCTTTATGGGTTGTCGCCGTATTTGGCACTATAAGTCAGCAGATTGGGACGGGATGCGGTCTTTCTTTGCGTCCTACCCTTGGGGGCCTATGTGCTTTTCGCCGGAAGCTCCAGATTCCGTCGCCGCCTCTGTTGCCGAAGTGGTTCTGCAGGGCATGGAACTCTTTATTCCATTTTCTGCGGTGCCGATCGGTGGCAAGTCTCAGCCCTGGTTTAAACGTTCTTGCAAGGCGGCCTCGCGTCGAAAGCGAGAATGCTTTAAGGCATGGGCGGAAGCGGCGAAATCTCGTGATGCCAATACCAGCGAACTTAAAAAAGCATATAACTCAGCCTCCAGGTCCTTCAAACGGGAAATCTCTAAGGCAAAGTCAGAGCACATTGCCAGATTTGGCGAGAGATTGGCCCAACTCCTTCAGGGACTCGAGCCTTCTGGTCTCTCGCCAAAGCTGTCCAAGGGAATTTTTGTCAGCCCGCCATTCCGCCACTGCACAGGGAGGATGACTCTCTGGCCCACACTGCGAAGGAGAAGGCTGACCTTTTGGGCTGTCTCTTCGCGTCTAACTCGACTTTGGATGACCGAGGGAGATCACCACCGACCATTTCGCGGTGTGAATCTTCGATGCCGGAAATCACATTCCGGCAACGTGCTATCCGCAAAGCACTATCTTCCTTGGACATTCAAGTCGAGCGGGCCGGATGGTATCCCCCCAATTGTGCTGCGTACTTGTGCTCCTGAGTTGGCTCCGGTCTTAACGCGCCTTTTCCGGTACCTGTACTCGCTCGGCACTGTCCCGAAGTGCTGGAAGACCGCTTTGATACATCCGATCCCTTAAAAAGGCGATCGCTCTGATCCGTCCAACTATCGCCCAATAGCTATAACCTCCTTGTTCTCCAAAATAATGGAATCCATTGTTAATTGCCAGCTCTTGAGGTATCTAGAGGGCCACCAGCTGATTAGCGATTATCAGTACGGCTTTCGTCGTGGTCGTTCGGCTGGTGACCTTCTTGTATACCTTACACATAGATGGGCAGAGGCAATTGAGTCCAAGGGGGAGGCGCTAGCGGTTAGTTTGGACATAGCGAAAGCCTTCGATCGGGTGTGGCACAGAGCTCTCGAAGCTTCCAGCCTATGGGCTTCCCGAGAAATTACGCGATTGGATCTCCAGCTTTCTGGCCGATCGGAGCATCAAGGTCGTCATCGACGGAGCATGTTCCGACCTAAAACCCGTAAACGCTGGGGTCCCACAAGGCTGTGTTCTATCCCCGACCCTATTTCTTCTGCATATCAATGATATGTTGAAACTTAGCAACATTCATTGCTATGCGGATGACAGCACTGGGGATACTTTTTACACTGGCCGGGCAGGTATTTCTCGGGCAATTGTTGATGAGTACCGGAACAAACTTGTGTCTGAAGTCGAAACTCTACTACGTGGAGTCTCAGATTGGGGCAGACAAAACCTAGTCCAATTTAACCCCAAGAAGACACAAGTTTGCGCGTTTTCCGCTAAAAAAACACCCTTTGTCGCTACTCCTCTTTTCGAAAACACTCTTCTTAAAGCCACAGCCAGCATTGGAATACTTGGCGTTGACATATCGAGCGACGTTCAGTTTCGCGGTCACTTGGAGGGAAAGGCTAAATTAGCCTCCAAAAAGCTTGGTGTGCTCAGCAAGGCGAGACGGTACTTCACTCCGGGCCACCGCATGCAACTATATAAAGCGCAAATTCGGCCCCACATGGAGTACTGCTCTCACCTCTGGGCAGGGGCTCCCCAGTACCAGCTCCTTCCACTTGACCGTATACAACGCAGAGCGGTTCGAATCGTCGACGACCAATCCCTCTCCGAGCGGCTTGATCCTTTGGCGTTGCGTAGAGATGTGGGGTCACTCTGCATCTTCTACCGCATTTACCATGGAGAGTGTTCAGAGGAGTTGTTCGGATTAATACCTGCAGCTGAGTTTCATCATCGGACGTCGAGGCAGAATACGAAATTCCACCCGTATCACCTCGACGTCCGACGTTCCACAACTGAGCGTTTTTCAAGGCAGTTTTTGCCGCGCACCACCACTATGTGGAACCAGCTGCCCACTGAAGTATTCCCGAACCAATTCGACTTAGGGTCCTTCAAGAAAAGAGCGTACCAATTCTTAAAAGGCCGGCAACGCACTCGCGAGCCCTCTGGCATTGAGAGTGTCCATGGGCGGCGGTATCACTTAACATCAGGTGAGCCTCCAGCCCGTTTGCCTCCCGTTCTATTAAAAAAAAAAAAAAAAAAAATTGGACCCGAAAATGAGTTAGGCCTATTTTTGATTAAGTATCAGTGTTTGTATTTTTTATGTATGTATTTTTATGTATATATTTTTTATGTATGTATTTTTTATGTATGTATTTTTTATGTATGTATTTTTAAATGTATGTATTGTTTAATTAATAATTTTTAAAAGCTTCAGTACAGTTATCAATGTTAATGAGACTGTAAAACAAATAGCTACAGGAAAACCGATATGCTAACTTTAACACTTTCTTGTCACATGTTAAATTTTCCTCAACAATTCAGGCAGAAATACACGGGTAAAAACCTGCCGACCGGTATGGAGTGACCTTTACGTCGGATTTTAAATATGCAATTGTGAATAAGGATAACTTTTAAAATATGTTCAATGTACTTAGCGTGCACCAAATAAAGGTAATATTAAAAACAAGAAAAAATTATGTAATTCCCCGAGTTTCTCCCACATCAAAGTATCTCAGAGTACTGCCTTGCGATTCTGTAACTCACTTTTCGTCAAATCAGTCGTGAAGCAGTCATTTTACGATTTGGCATTCTGATAAACAATAAACTACAAGCTCCCTCCTTATCTATAAGGAAAACCGCAGTGAGAGTTCGAAAAGTGAGTTACAGAATCGCAAGGCTGTACTTTATCTCAAAAGTTAAAAAATATGTTACTTAATAGCTGTAAACCAGCTCGATCACGACAGCTTTTTAACAAACAAAATCGCATCATAATGTCTTTTGTCCACAGTCAGACGACAACACCTCGAACTTTGTGGTACGACGTGGTCTCTTTTCAGCGGCGTTTAATGTATTATTAATTATTATTTAATCAGATGTGTATCGATTTAGGTATGGTATACGTATGAAATAATAATGATATAAAAAAATATTCAGATATTTAGTGCTAGAGATATTGCTGTTTTGACTGGGTAAATGCCCGACCCAGAAGATAATTTTGTATCTATTGCTTTAGTTTACATTAATGATGAGCTTTCTATTGTTTATATTATTCTATCATTTTGGGGAGAAATTGGCTATGCCAAGAATTAATCTGGAATTGTAAAAGCCAAACACATTTTGTATGCCAGTCAAGGTTTATAATAATTTACCAAAAACATTCAAAGATGTTCCTACCAGAGTTTTAAAAAATCGACTTAATGTGTAGTACATGTGAAACGTGAAATAAAAACTAATTATTCCATTAATAATTATTTGCGTGAAACATTATAATTAATTTTAATTTGATAACGTAAAGAATTGAAAATAATGATATGACTCACAATCTATGTAACTTCTATGTAAAAAACTTTTCAAGATAAATTTGCCCGCTATTATGTGTGGCAAATAAATTATTATTATTACCATAGGTCAAGATCAAAGAAGAATTGTAACACTTACCCGGGCCAATCCGGACACCGGAAACTTTTCAAATTCCAATGTATTGTCCTCTCCTAAGTTTCTGTCCATTTGCCCACCAAAAGTTCTCGCAGCCATTACAGTCGCTAGTGACATGCCATCACCAATGAAAAGTATACCATTTTTGGCTTTATTGGTATTTATTTTCTCTTTCAGCTTGGCTTTTAGGGTCTCCGCTGCAGATTTTTTCCAGTAGGACCCGTGTTTTTCCTCAGCTGGAATGTATAATGGGTTCATGATGGTGTCCAGAATTTTCTTCGGCTTTGGCGTCGAGACGGCATCTTCTGTAAACATAATATCGAATTTCCTTTGAATTTATTATAGTGTTTAGTTTAGCAATAGTTAGTAGTCAGATAACCCATTTGTTTTGATATAAGCGAAATTGCGCATCCCCTGCTACATTCTGGAGCAGGGTACGTGCGGCTCGACCCATAGAAAAATTCTGATGTTCAGTGATTGGGTGGGCAATACCCGCTCGAACTACCTCGGGTAGTTCGTTTAAGGTCGCGTTAGGATGGCTCCGAGGTCACTCTCGCAATTGTGTATACAAGTGGGTGTTTTTCATTGTTTGTGCTAGCAACCAGTATGATTATTATTTTGCTGGGAAACGAATTGACTTTTACATAAAAACAAACTTTTAAAGTAACGAACAGATTTTTATCTTTTTGTATTTTTTCTTTCTGTATTTTAAACAGTTTTCTTTACAAGCAAGAAGATGTAGTCTTTGACGGGGTGGATTTATGATGTTTTACATGCTCACAAGATATTTGCGTTGGAATTCGCACGTATAGTTATTAGACTATAAGGATCTTATCCAGGAACAATACTAAGAGCAACTATATTTTGCTTTATTGAAATATATTTGTAAATATTATTTTGACTGTATACTGTAGATTGCAAGGCACTGTATACTCCAGTTATCCAATTTGGGGCCCAAGTACCTAAAATAAACTTACTATTTTTTTAAAATATATATTCATGGTTAGAAAAATTCAAATTTATACAATGTTATACAATAGACCAATACAGAGATAAATTTTATCTATTTCACCATACGATGTTTAAGATATCGGCACGTTCCTTTACAAATTTTATCCTCATTGTAAAGTGATTTGCATAACTAATAAGTTACAAATTGTAGACAAAGTACTAGAAAAATATTTTCCTCAATATTTAAATTTCGCTATTTTGTAAGAAATATAGCGGAAATTTAAAATCGAGTCGAGTGAGTCGAATATTAAAATATGCCATTAGTAATAAAATAAAGGCACCGTGAAAAGATCGTGTGAAGAGCTCTCGGTTCTATGTCGTTTGAGAATTTTGGACTTCTGTCTCACATACTCTTACTCGTTCGCCATGTCTCCAGGAGCAGTCAGTTATAAAGGAGTTGGCCTGCGTGAATCGGCTGGTATAACATTAGTATATTTAATATTATATGAAAATACTAATTCGACAATAGTAAATGAATAAATATTTAGTAAAATGTATTCATTATGCTACTAAAAACAACTTGTAAAAAAACCAAGTCTCGCAATTTAGTTCTTCTACTTAGACGACGAACTTCTTACTTAAGAAGTTGGTTAATTTATTTTACTTATGGGACCTTCTGTCTTATGTTACGTACTTAGCTAACCGAACAACATCTTATAGTGACCATATCAATATTAAAAATCTTTTATGTTTTAAATAAATAGTTTTGTCCCCAACGAAAAATGTTGTCGAAAATTGCCTGAACTGTTACGAAAAGAGGATGGTACGGCCGCGTTTTTTTGCTTGACTTGGCCTCAGCTATTAGGCATTTGTTTTTAAACTTTGAAAGTAACTAAAAATGTTTCATATTAATAAAATAAGGTTCATAATTCATGTCTTATTTAATAAAGTTAGTTAAAAAAAATAAAAATCCAAGATTGCTGGCAATGTATTTCTGGAAGCTCTTCTGGATCGCATACGTAACATACTTATGTTACTGGTCTTTATAAAGTTATCTTAAACTTTAAATTTGTTTTTAAAATCTTCAATGGGTGTGACATTCGAGTAAAGAATCCGCACTCAAATTTATTAACATTTATTACGATGCATTTGAGCAATCAATACAAAACTTAAAAATAAGTATTTTTTATCGGACAAATGAACTGTTTAAATACAATTATGCATATTTACAAGTTTCTAATCCTGATGAAGTATTATTTAAAAATAGGGTTTACAGTGATTTTAGCTCAATGATTATATAATTTTATATAAAGCGATATATTTTCTTTATTTATATTCTATATTAGCTATTTCGATAACCAAGTGTATTTTTAAATAGTTCTTTCAAGTCCAGTCTCTTGATTAGTCTGAGAAAATACTGGATGAATCTTGCGCTAATTTAGTTAATTTATCCAACTGGCTATGTTATTGAACAAATAGTCACAGATATTTTCTATGTAATGCTATTTAACTACGGAATAGAAAAATATTTATATTTAACTATAGTTACTAAAACGTAATGTTTTAATATATATATATATATATATTACTTTTGTCTAAATAACTATATTATTATGTAATATTTTTATTTCTCACAGTGGTTGCCTAGAAGAGATCGCTCGAAAGCGATAAGGCCGCCAGTTGGCCTCCTTTTCATTTAATTATGTCAATTGTATTATATCTCTGTATGCAACGAATTGTTAATAAATAAAATAATTAAGTCTTTTGATGTACTATGGGTCTTAATTAATTTAGATTAATTATTATCATTTATAATTTTTTTCCGTAAGTTTCGCGCTCTTGCATTTCTTTGTAATTTTTTTCTGTAATAGGGTTGCCAGGAAAAGATAGCTTAATATCAAATTAGTCATTAAGTGTGAATAAATTAATAAATATGTCGGTTTCGCGTATGTTAATTCTCTGGTATATAATATTATATAGCCTAGTTATCCTCGATCAGGTCTACATTTTTTTTAAAATTTGAATGTTTCTGAGATCACCGCTTTCAACCAAAAAAATGTTGAAGTTATTAACTGTAGATTTATTAATAAATTACATATGATGATTATTGACTAATTTTATTGTTTCAATTTATTAATGAACAAATATGCGTTGTATGGCTTCTGTAATTTTTTATATATAAATGGGCTCATCTGATGTTAAGTTATAACTTCACAGCTATACCGACAAAGGTACCCTCACATTGCCAGCATGCTCGCAATTGCGTTGCCGGCCTTATCTTTTGGTCGGTAATTCAAACCTTTGTAGTTCTTCTTTAAGAATAATAACTAATATATATGTGTGTGTTGGCATATAAAAAAAGCAGCGACAAAACCTGTTTCCTTTAATTGATAATAAAAAAGTTATTTTAAAAGGGAAGGTATGCAGATTTGACCATTTATTTAACACGCGTGAAAATAATGGCGGACAATTAAATTATTTCGCTATTAAAATATTTTACATAATTATAAAATAAAACCTACCTGAATAAACTGTATAAATAAATACAATTTGTATAAAAACACTCGCGAGCAACATTTCTCGTTTACGTCCGTGCGCCGGCGCACAAATTATTGTACTACACCTGATTTGGCTGACTCCTGCGCGTTACCTTAACTCGCTAAGATATTAAACTTTAATTACACAATAATACCATTCGCTTGTCATATTATAATTACTCTTTAGTAATTAGTAGTTAGTATCGTTATACAAAAGTAACCGTAAACGTATTAAGAAATAAAACTTAAATTATTTTTTAATTTACAAGATAATTAAGAGTCCTTTACCAGACCCTGCCGATTACAAAAGATCATGTAGGTATAGGAGTAATTATTATAGGTCCAAATTTCTTGAAATAATAAATCCCTATAACCTATTTTATGTATCATATTTATTATATACTTATTTTTATTATGTTCCTAATAGTGGTTCACCTGCCAATAGGTGTATTAGCAGACATATATTTATTAGATATATCTATGGACAATATGTATGTGTATATTGATAAATATGAAATTGACGTATTATATCGTAAATTACATACTTTATTAACCATTGTATTTATTTTATTGTATTATTTAGTTGTTTTTCTAAAATTCGCGCATATTACATCGTTTTGTCCATTAGCAAGGGAAGATTTGTTTAAGTTAAAGATTAGTATAGAATCAGTAGTGGAACCAACCAACCCGAACAATAAATGGACATTTGATTAGATCTCAAATTAAAAGATCGAGAGACCTGTGAACAGGAAGATTATACTCTGCAAGTTCCTTTTAGAGAAAAATCTCCCGAACATCGAACCCGTTCTGCTTTATTAACCACTAAACCACGGAGGCGGAAACATAGTATTGTCAATTGCTTAATAAAATCCTAAAGCATGGACATATTATCTCTATATAATTGTTTGACACGTGCCGCATCTTATCGACTTTATCTCCTTACGATAATTGCTTTATTGTAAATACAGATTTTCTTCATCATTGTATTAATAAATTGGATTAAATGTAATTAAATTAAATGTGATTAATGTTATTATGCCACATGGACCCAACTTTTTAAATTTGTTTGAATTTAGTTTTATTAATTTATAATTATTTTGATTATTACTATTTGATTTGATTGTTATGTTTACGTTTAATTTAAATAAATAAAATATTAATTTTTTTAGAGATATAACACTTGTACCTTAATAAAGATATATACTTATATAAACTACTGGATTTAAAAAAAACTTTCGCTTTAGAATGCTACATAGTTCCCTAATACATACATTGCTTTTTTTAAATTGCTATTAATAAAAAATATAATTTTGTAACACATCAACAATATGTGTAAACGAAATATAGTATGACATCTATTTAAATGAAAAATATTTTTTATTATATTGATTTGTTTAGTTAGTAGGTAATTTTATATCTTATATATGTGCAGAGCGTCTTTTTAAAAAATACATATTTTTAAGTCAATTACAAACTGACACATCGTTTCTTTAATAGGCAGAGTCACGGATTGATCTGATTCCGATTTTAATATTGAGTCTTTGTTCTATATTCACTATTCCAGCGAGACAAAAGTATTCAAAAAATTGTTTTTTTTTTCACTTCATTGCTTAGATCCAATTAATTATTACGTAAACATGTTTGGTAGCTTACTGGGACAGGTCTAATAAAATAACATCGTATTGATTTGGCAGAAAGGTACTTGTGGGGACCGTTTGTCTTTATTCAAGTTTTGATTATTTTTCCTACATTTGTTTTTGTATGTTAGGT